ACAACATTCACAGCTGGGTGGGCTTGTGCTTTTCACATAGTTCCATTTTTCATTTCACTGAGACAACTGTAGAATCTGCGATTTATATTTAATAGTCACAATTGGAGGAGCACTAAATACAGTACTCTCAATGCAAATGAAATACTGTTAGTAGGTTAACAATCTGAAACTTTAATTGCGCTTCTTTTTCCACATATCACCTGTTGAATATTTGCATTGTTTTCTACTTTCATTTCAGTTTTTAAGTGTTTGTAGTAAAGCAAAGAAAGGCCTTTTGAGAAAGTGAAGTAGTCATCTTCCAATGAAGAAATACAATTTACATTGGATATCAACTGCACATAGAAAATGGCAGAACTCCGTTGCAAAACATAGAATGTATTCAGCATAAGATGACATTCTGCCCTAGACGGTCATGCTAGCTCTCTGCAAGTGCAACTCACCTAGTCCCACTGTGCCACCTTTACACCATAACATCATAACACACCAATTTATTTTATGTCAAATAATTATCCAATTTCCTTTTGAAAGTCACCATTTGATCTCACCCGAGCACATTCCAGAAATGGATTCCATATATAAATCGATAGCTGAATTGATTAGGGGGAGGCAAGGGCCTCAGGGTATTATCGCTGGACTGTTAATCCAAAAGACCCAAAAAAGTTCTGAGGACCTGGATTCAAATCCCGCCATGGTAGATGGTGGAATTTGAATTCAATAAATATCTGGAATTAAGAATCCAATGATGACCATGAGTCCATTGCCGATTGTCAGAAAAACCCATCTGGTTCACTAGTGTCCTTTAGGGAGGAAACTGCCATCCTTACCTGGTCTGGACTACATGTGACCCTAGACCCACAGCAATGTGGTTGACTCTCGACAATTAAGGGTAGACAATAAATGCTGCCTAGCCAGTGATGCCCTCATCTCGTTAACGAATAAATGATTTGGAACACCTCTAACAAATTTCCTCTCAACATCATCTTCTCTGAAGAGAACAGCCCCAACTTATCCAAGCTATCCCTCTACTCAAGTCCTCAGTCCTACACTTTTCTGCAGCCCCTCTGATTCCTCCACATCCTTCCTAAAGTGCACAGGCCAGAATTGGACAGTTACTTAAGCTAGGGCTAAAACCAATCCTTTATAAAAGGTTCACCATTATCTCTTTTACAAATTTCTTACTATCTGTTTGGCTTGCCATCCTGAGATGGGAGTTTCTTGCAGCAATTTTTTTTTTGAAAACAGCTTAGTTGAATCAAAATGGAAGCAAAACTACCTTTCTGAAGAAGGGTCTAGACCTGAAACATCAGCTTTCCTGCTCCTCTGTTGCCGCTTGGTCTGCTATGTTCATCCAGCTCTACACCTTGTCGTCTCTACTGAATTGACAGATTTGTTTTCTTTTTTCTGTATCTATGGCTTAGGATAAAGTATTTTAGCTGGCCACCTGAACAAACATTGGATACATCAAATTTTCCCACAAGTGACTTGCAAGATATGAATTGGCCACTTCTAAATGACACTGCATGCTCTACATCCTCTAACCAATGCTTAAATTCACACATAACACACTTCTTTATCCTAGAGTGTCTTCAGGTCCCTTGTAAGTCATTGTCTTTTGATGAGGAATCCAACAGCTACCAATTTAGGGCACATTTTCCAAGAATGTCAAAAACAATCACTGACAGAACCTACTTTTTATATATCCATGCAATCTAAAAATTATTGGGGTAGAATTTCTACTAGTTTTGTACTTGAACTTACAGTACACTCAGCTAAACCAGCTTAAATGTTGAAGAGCATAAAGAAAAAAAGAAAGTTATGCCCATAAATACTACACTGTTTTTCACAAGCTTTTCCACTAGTTCAGGCTTCAGTTTGTCCAAATCAGGCCCACCCCAGCCCACCAAAACTGGATACAAACCTTTGTCGAAATGGCAACATTCTGCTGCTTCTAGAATTGTACTCAGTCTTAGGTTTACATGTACTATAAATTATTCAAGCTTAAGGCACAGAAGAAAGACATTTATCCCACTGTGAATTTGCTACAAGAGAGCTAAAATATCCTAATCTCGCCAAGCAGCATGTTTCAATGACTTTTATAATCAAAAGAATTTTAACTTAATTAAAAACTATTAAACATTTACATACTTTAAGACATTTGCAACGCTTTTAAGCAGGGTACCTACAGATAGAGATCTAAACACCCTATATAAAAAATGTTTATTTATGCTGATAGCCAAAACTGCACCACTTTACCACTCTTTAATACATTAAAGAATTCTTGTCAATGGAATGAAAGAGAGAATTAGTTATGTTAAATTTGTGTTAATTAACTGAAGATTTTGTTTGCGATAATGCTAAAGATTTTAGCAGAGACATAATTGAGAATGTTTGTGTGCGCAATTTGCTAATTACACCCAAAACAGAAAATCTACCTTGCTGATTTATTAATCATAATCTAACTGCTTCCTTTATAGGACACGGCAACAATGTTTCTCCACTATGGATCTCAAGGTGACAATTCTGCAATTTGCATTTTAGTGTGTTTGACCTTGCTTCAGGAACTTGAGTATTTGACTTTTTCATTTGCCAGTTTCAGGAACTCAGATGCAATCCAACTTTTCTGTCAAAAAAGAGAAGGCGATAGCCTGGTGGTATAATCGCTGGATTATTAATCCAAAGACCCAGATAACATTCTGGGGACCTGGGTTTGAATCCCGCCACAGCAGATGGTGGAATTTGAATTCAATAAAATATCTGGAATTAAGAATCCAATGATGATCGTGAATCCATTGTCGATTGTCAGAAAAACTCATCTGGTTCACTAATGTCCTTTAGGGAAGGAAACTGCCATCCTTACCTGGTCTGGCCTACATATGACTCCAGACCCACAGCAATGTGGTTGGCTCAACTGCCCTCTGGGCAATTAGGAATGGACAATAAATGCTGCCTAGCTAGTGACGCCCTCATCCCGCGTTAATGAAATAAAGAAAAAAACGTTACTGGAAAGAACACAAAGTATCCCAAAGTCGGAGAGTTGATATGGTGCAAAAAAAAAAGCTCATCCCCAGTCTTCAATTTTGTTCTAGGCTAAACTGCATCATTTTTGAAAGCATTTTACCAATATAACATTAAAGAAAGAACTTGCATTTTAAAGAGACACACATCAGCAGGGCAACCAAGAGCACTCCAAAGAATTCCTATGAAGCATAGTCACCATGTGCATACAAAAATGGTCAATGTGCTAAAATAGTCTCACAATCAATAGCAATGAACAAATAAATTGATTTGAAACAGGTGGTACTTTGAGAAATAAATGAAATTGGGAGAATTTTCTGCTTTTCTTTTACTCCCAACTGAAAAGGTAAATAGAGACTGTTGTTTTACAACTCCTTTAAAAGACAGCACCTTTAACAATAAATCTCTCCTTCAATGTTACACTAAATTTTCAATCTGGTTTACATGCTAAAATTTACATGTAAAGCTTAAGCTTGAACCCATAAACATCTGCCTCAATGCAGGACTGCTATCAAAAGAGTTAGATTGACACATTAACTGCTCCATGAAGAAACAGAAAACATTGCCTATATTCCAAAGAGCTGTACAAAAGGCAAAATCTTTCCATGAATGTGACATATTTCTGGATCACCCTGCCTGATGTAGAATGTGTTTACATTGAACAGAACGAGTACATTTGTCTGTAAACAAAAAACAAAAGGGAAGCTGATGTACATTTGAAAAAATAAATGTTTGTCAAAGAGACTAAGGATTTAGCACTTTCAGACGCAGCATAGATGTACTGGACTGAATGGTCTCCTCTGGTCTAGCAAAACGTTGCGATTTTATGATAATAATCGCAGAGGCCAGTTTGGTCTTTTACTTCTGCTCAGTTGTTGAGTGAGTCATTGAATGGGTTTCGGTACAAATATTTGCGAGGCTCCTTCACAGGATGCATAGTCTAACACAAGCCAAAAACAAAAGAATAATAGGCTAACAACCTGTACTTTTCAAGTAGGCTGCAGTAAATCAAAATTAGCCTTTAAAAGAAACACTTGTGAAAAGAGGCTATATTCATGCTGACTTCTTTTCCAAAAGCCATGATGGAAAGGTATGTTTTTTCATAGGTTTGTAACTTGTTGCAGAAAAAGCCTCAATACTTGATAAAAGGTGAGGCTTGCACTGAAGTCTTCATTGTTGGTTGCATGCAACCAACAGAGACACTGAAATGGCTGGGTCTGCAGTCTACAGTCTACAGTCTCTGCAAACAACTTCGTTCACTGATAAAGACTTTTATATTTCCTTGAAACTATTACAACAATCAATTACAATTTGTGTACTGAGTGGCCCACCTACTACGCTGCAAAGGCCGTTAAAACAAAGACTTCCTCCAGAAACAAATGCCACCACGAAATCCGTTCACAATGATAAAACTTTCCAACCTTCAAGCCCAAACAAATGCATATTGAGAGAGAGAAAAAAAGCACACTCAAGCAACTCTGCGCTGGAAACAAAAAGCAGCAGGAAGAAAAGTTAGCCACAGATTTTTCCACTATTCCATAAAACTACTGTCACAACTGGATGGATACAAAAACTTCAGTTCAACACATGACACTCAGCCTGAAAACAGCTACTGGTGTGCTGTGCAGGAATAATTACGAGATGTGGGCAGAATGGTATCTAACATCCCTTATAATATTGGGAAGAATATTACAAAGAAACACAGAAAACAGGTTCTGGAGCAACATTACAATGCTACAAGGTTGTGATTTCACTACCCACTCCATGCAGAATTGTACCCAACGTGACAGGAAAGGGTCAGAAAATCCCTTTTGGATACTCATCACCAATTACCAGTGAAAGTAACTAACATTTATGGTTGAGATTTATCTTTGATAAATGGTAAGAAAGAACACAAAGAAATTTAATAAAGTTGAGACTTCATTCAGGTTCATGACACTGCTGTCTCCCAAGTCTTTGCAAAGATCACAATGAGAACTACTTACTCTGCGCTTCAGTCGCTCTCTCTCCCTCAGCGTCAGTGTGTCTGCCTTGGCAATCACTGGCACAATATTTACTTTGCTGTGAATGGTCTTCATAAACTCTACATCTAGAGGTTTCAGGCTGCACAAGACAATAAACAGTTAAGAATAGCACACACTTCCCCTAATTCATTGGCACATCCGAACTTCAGAAGCAGAACGCAATATTCCAAAGAAAATTGACAATCATTCTGGAACACTAAAGTCCTCAATCACTTGAAATTTTTTGGAATATTGGATTAGCCTCGCTTTTGGCTTTGTAAACTTGGTTGCGGCTTGCGCCAGAGCAGGCTCCAGATTTCAAGAGCACTTGCTAATTCAACAGACATCAATAATGTAGAATACAGTAATCTCCTTGCTGTAGACACTTTAGAAGTAACATTTGTACTTTTGAAATACAGAAGTAAAGAAGCTTTATGCTACTGACCTATAGGGATACATTCACCACATGGCAGTTCACTATACACTCCTCTCCAGAAAGGGTTCCTGCTTTAATTCAAAGGGCGGCACAGTGGCTCAATGGTTAGCACTGCTGCCTCACAGCACCAGGGACCAGGGTCCGATTCTAGTCTCGGATGACTGTCTGTGTGGACTCTGCACATTCTCCCAGTGTCTGTGTGGGTTTCAGCCAAATGCTCCATTTCCTCCCTCCAAAGTAGTGCAGGTTAGGTGCAGCAGACTCAATGGGCCAAAATGGCCTCTTTCTGCACCATAGGGATTCTATGACTAAGTCTCCATGAGAATGGTCATAAAGGACCATGTACAGAGGCCTTTGGCATCTTCTAAACAATGGCCCAGAATGAACAATCATACTGAGAGGTGCAACTGGGCAATGAGAAAAAATTGCAAGTAAATATATTAGCAAACCAGAGTACTGGAAGACAACACACAGGGGAAGCAGGTGTTGTTTATTAAATAGGATCGTGTAATTAGAGATCTGAAGAAACAACTTCATAGAAGAAAAAAAGGAAACTATTTTAAAGAAAATATAACACTTCCAACAGTACATACTTGAACTCCCAAGTGCAATATCAAGCATTCACCTGCCCCTCTCCCACAGAATGCTACAGCCATCTGAATTCACCCAAGCACTATAACAGAAATAAATAGCTCCAAAGATGACAAGTTGCAATAGTGTGGCACCACTGCAGGTACTGCCCAATGCAAGTCTGGGGCAATAAAGCTCAACATTCAAGAACATCGCTGTAACCTTCAACTCCTCTGCTCAACAAATGTCAATGCAGTTTATTTGAAATTACCTATAAATTCAGTACCTTTTCTGAAAGCCTCATTCACAAATACAACACAGTAATTAAGGCTCTGAATTTGTACATGTCCTGGACCAAATTAAATAAATTGCTTACATCTGCTGCATATGAACTACTTTCTATTTTAAGGACCTGAAATCCCATCCAAGAGTATCACAAATAATCTCATCTGAAGAAATAAAGTGAAACCATCCAATGAGGAATGCTTGGAAGAGATCTGAAAACACAGGTACTAGAAATCAAACATTTCAAATGATGACAAGAGATCAAGAAATGTGGGAGACAGTATTTCTCAGTTGTTATTATTTCTGATCAGAGTTTCTGTCTCTCCAGCTGCTCAAACCACTTTCTACTCAAGAGACAGAATCTGAGATGGTAGGAACTGCACGGGCAGGTGGGAGGGTATCTATGATTGATCGAGCTGGAGAGTCACTCCAGCCACTCCAGAGGTTCAGGAGGCTGGAACAGTGGGCTATTCATAAAGGCGAATTTTGAGCACCCAACAGGGGGCAACCAAGCAGGAAGAGAAGCAGGGTTTGAATCTCCAGATGGGTAATTGGACTGGGATGAGGGGCTGGAATGTTGACGAGACAGTCTTGATGCAGCCAATTACAATTGGGTGTTACATTTCTCTTTAGGGAGCAATCAAGTTTTTGAATAATAGAAGTTTTTGTCATGTCTTTGAAACTCATCTACATATGCACAACCGTGAATTTTATGTTTCAAAAACTGCTGAGCTCAAATTTAACTTCAACGAAGAGAAATTCAAACTCCCTCCAAAAGATGACTAGACAAGACTGTTGATGGTCATGTTCTAAAGTTATAGCAAACAGATTCTGCATAGGTTTCTCAAACTAAAACCTCATCATCGGGGAACTGACTGAACAAACATCAAACAGTTCATAAAAAGTATTGATGATCCAAAAGAAAGGTATTTTCTTCCAGGTTCGTTTGATGACGTTTTTGTAAAAGATCAACTGGCTGTCCTGGAATAACTGTGTGGATATTTTATAAGCGAGGAAATGGGGCTGATTATAATATGCACAGGATTTCATTCTGGAGGAAGAATATGGGAAATTTATTTATTACAAATGAACAAAAACACCCCATTTACCACAGAATCACACAACTGTTAAAAGGTGCAGAAGATGGACATTCAACCCATCATGTCTGCACTAGCTTCCAGATGAGCATGATGATTTAATGCCATTCTCCCATTCTTAGCCCATAACCCAGCATACTGTTTGTATTTAAATAATCATACAAAAGCATCTTGAATGCCTTGACTGAATCTTTCTCCACTATATAGTTCATGCCAGATTCAAACCACACTCAGATTCCAAGTTAAAGATTGACTATGTATTCATCCAATATTTGATATATGTGCTCTCTCATCTCTCTGAAGAAGATTCAATGCAAATCCAGAAGGTACTGTCACCATGAAACTCCTAGTAAAAGGAGTTAGCACGAATGAGAAAGGAGAACTTCAAAGTGAAAGAGTAGTCTTTAAAAATCAAAAAAGTATCTATCCAGAAGTTCTACAAAGAAGCTTCAAAAGAGGGTTAAAAAAAGACTCAAGTTGCTCTTGCTCAAATTCCATTCTGACCTGAACAAAGAGATGACCTTCTTCACTCAAAATTGGCACAGCAATTTACAGCATTGTTGGGCACCTTCGTTATGCAAGTTCTAATGTCACAGCAACTATGATGGGTATATAGACAAGCATTTTTTAATCATATACCTTGTAGAATGAGAAATGATTCTTACCCATGGCCAAAAGGAGAGATGAAGTAGAAACAACAATGGACTCTGTTGTCTACAATATGTCGTCTATTCAGGCCACTCTCATCATGAAGGTATCTTTCAAACTGATTGTCAATATATTGAATGATTGGTCTGAAGCTGCAGAGAAAGAGAGGGTAGAAACAATGGTATCAATCATCACGCTATGCCGAAATCTGATTATTAGATCCCTTAATACTGACCAACTAACTTCCAACTAAATACCGTTATCTATAGCGGAGTCTCACCAAGAAGCCCGGGTTCAAGTCCCACATGCTCAAAGATGTGTAACAAAATGTCCGTAAGGGTTGATTAGAAAATATTCATGAGAGTCTAGAATCTATGCTGATACATCAATTATATTACAAACCAACGGCAATCTTGGATATGCTCTTCTGGAAATTGCTGCAGTGAGAGTTCAGATCCTTCAGATCTCACTACACAATTAACTTTAGTATATTTTTAAGAATAACATTGCATTTACTAGTAAGAAACAGCGAGCAGCTTGCATATTGGCAGCATATTCCAAATGTCCTTCAAATCAATTTGATTACCATTGTCATGATCCCAGCTGATGTTATTACTGGACAAATCAGATCAGGAGGTGGAAATCTGGCTTGATAGTTTAAGTTTTGTGTTTTTGTTTTGGTTTTAATGAGGTGACCTCTCACTGAAATACAAACATACAACGCTACAGATTCAGGTCTAAGAACAAGATAGAAATTTGTTATGCAAAAGTGATGAAGGTAAAATAGAAAAGCAAAACTATTTACGTGTAACCCATTAAGGATCTTTGAAGCCACACAGTAAAAATTAATTCCAACACTCAGGCCAGACACCACCATCTCTCTCTCTCTCTCTCTCTCTACCCCCCACTCCTCACACCACCCCATGCCACACACACGCGAATCAACTTGCCAATACTAAACAACAAACTGAAAGAACCACAGATACTGGAAGTTAGAAACAAAAACTGCTATAAAAGGCGGCTCTGATGGAGGATCACTGGACCCAAAATGCTAACTCTGATTTCTCTCCACGGACGCTGCCAGACCTGGAGTTTTCCCAGTAATTTCTGCTTTCGTTTTTGTTGCCGATAGTAAAAGTTGGGGTTTGTGCATGAATAACAGGCATGACACTCAATAGATACCGTTTTTTCTAAAAAGAAATATCCTTCATTCAGCCTGTGGTATCATTGGCAAATAGTTATTTCCCCTGCCAAATTGCACTCAAGGGGTTTGTGTTGGACCACATTCTTGAACTGCTACAATTTGTCTGCAAATATTCCAATAATGCTATTGATGAGTTCCAGCATTTGGACCCAGCAACAGTGAAGCGAAGGTAATCAACTCAGGATGGCGAGAGACTTGGAGGTAATGTGATGCTCCTCATGTCTGCTGCCTTATTTCCTTCTAGGTCAGGGGTCTGCAACCTGCAGCACATCCCAACTGCACCTCCCAAAGTTTTCCTGTTGGATTGTAATGTCGTGACAAAAACCTGAAAAAATGCAAGTCAAGAAAAATATGACCAGTGATTTACTGTGGAGATTAAAGATTAATTATTATGCTTCTGTTTATTGTTTCAAAAGACTATTTTAACCAAAAACACTTCGGAATAAAGTTGTTTGACTGCTGCAACCGCACTAATGAATCAGAGATAATGCCTTTGGTTGGATGATCGTAACTGTAAAATATGCTGATTATTTTGAGGATAGCTGCGATGATAATTTGTTCTGAATGTTCTATTAGAAGCTTATATTTAGTCATGAGAATCCAAAGCCCAATAAACTGTCTTAATTTTGTTCATCACAAATTAAAGTTTGTTTTGAAGATGAACCTACTGATAAAATTATTAAAAAGTCAAAAATTGTGATAATTCTGAAATAGGTATATCTGACATTTGTTTTGTGTTCATACATAAATTGATTACATTTCATTATATGCATAAATTATGCATCCTAGCAGAGACGCTTGTCAAATATTTGGTTTAGAACTCCCAAATTTTTTGTCTTTGAGAATCCAACGATCTTTACTTTAGGCAAATACTTTTCAAAAGGCTCTTCAGATTAAAAGAAAGTATGCCAAACCCTTTTCTCAGTGGTAGAAGCTGTGGGTTTAGCACGCGCTGTTGAAGAAACCTTAGTAAGTCATGCAATTTGTAGCTAGTCTGCTACCGTACCCAGAAATCAATATCCAGAGAGATGGACATGGACTTGGCTGATTGTTTAAATATTTCTTCTACATCTTATTTGGTAATGTCCTGCCGACACCAAGACAAAGCCCACTCAATTGGCACCACATCCACAAACATTTCAGTCGCTCCACCATTGACACTCAGTAACAGCAGTGCATACTACCTACAAAATGCATTGTAAAAATTCACCAACGATACTTAGACAACACCATGACCATCTTGGAGGACAGCGGCAGCAGATAGATGGGACGCCACCACCTGAAAGCTCCCCTCCAGGCCACTCACCATCCTGATGTGGAAATTTATCACAATTCCTTCACTGTTGCTGGGTCAAAAAACTGGAATTCCCTCCCTAACAGCATTGTCGGTCTCCCTGCAGCATGTGGACTGCAGCGTTTCAAGGAAGCAGCTCACCACCACCTTCTGAAGGGCAAAAGGGGTGGGCAATAAATGCTGGCCTAATATTTATTAAGCCAATTAAAATTAAGCCAATTTCACTTCACTGTCAGCCAAGCTGTCAAATTGGCAAAGAAATTATTTTAACCCTACAGTTCAGTGCCATGGTAATGACTAATAGAAAGTAACTGAGATATCACTAGGCTTAGAGAGGATAATGTTTGATTTTACAGAATGTTGGACAAAGATTTGAATGAAATGATTTGCAGGGCTGTGGAAAAACAGTGGGTAAATTAGACTAATTGGACAGCTCTAAGAATATTTTCTGAAGAAGGGTTAGGCCCGAAACGTCAGCCTTCCTGCTCCTCTGATGCTGCTTGGCCTGCTGTGTTCATCCAGCTCTACACCTTGTTAGCTCTAAGAATATGTCCAGGCACAATGGGCCAAATGGCCTCCATTATTACAGGATATCAATCAGTAGGAAACTACGGTGTGATGTTCTTTCTCAAAATGCAGGAACAATCCCCCAACATTCTCATAAATGCTTTCTTTTCAATTCCCATTCCCTTTGGTGGAAATGAATTCATGGAAAATGCCACTGAGTAACCTGGGAACAAGAACATTCCAATCCCGTGACCACCAACTTCACATTCACAGTGCAAATGTATGTTACAAGGTCCCACAGTCACAGCAAATGATAAAGGCCACAATGACTTCATTGCTCCTCAGGTTTATGCTTTATATATGAAATGAAGTGATACACACCCCTTGGTGAAAATTTCTATAGGGCAGCACAATTGAAAGGAAGAGAAGCCATTGTGATGACTTACTCACTCTGCTGAGTTAACAGTCCCATGGGAGGAAACGCACCGGGAAAATTCAATAGGGTCAAAGTAAAAAGGTAGACACAGACTGGGCCTTAGAATGTAGCAATGCAGCAGTTACAGCAGTCTACTGAAATACTTCCAGACTGAGTGGCGAACATCAATAGGCCCGTCTCTTGTATCCAACACAGTTTGAATCAGGAGACTAACCACTATTTCTCAAATTGACAACACAGGACATTTGACTGAGAATGACAGGATTCCAACGTGATACCGGACAAAATCCTGGACACAAGTATTCAGGATAATGCATGTGAATTTGCACTGGTTCACTCACCAGCATGGTTTCCTCACGGGAGCACATCAAAGAAAACAATTGGTACAAGTGACAATGAGTTATGCTTGCAATAAAAATTGCTACAAACTCTTTTGTTTCTAAATATGCACAAAAGCAACCCAAACCCGCTTAGCTGGGAATTCAGATAAGTTGCTTTTCCCAAATATTAGATCTCTCTAAAAATTTGCACTGCAAGATCCCTCGCTGTCACCCCAAAATTAAAATACATCATGCAAGTGATGACATTGCATTTAAAGAAATTACACAGTGCACTCTTAAATCAGACAAAATCATAACAGAGTACTCTTGCAAATAATTTACAAAATCATCGAAAATTCTGCAAATGAAAGGAAACTTCAACAGAAATGTGCGGCAGAATTACTAATGATGATAGTCACATTCTCTTCATTGTTTTGTCACCAAGTTGTCAACAATATTTCTAATAATGATAAATGTTTCACAAGTCTGTGGTACATATCTGCGATTTTAATATAGTTGCATTCACAAAATCCCATTTACTGCTTTCAGGTCCCGAAAATCCAGGGCTCCTTGGAGCTGTTGAACAGGCATGAAATCTTAGATGCGCGAGTTAGGGATGGATGACTCCTGGGAAAACAGTATCATGGTGCAGGAGGCTACTCTGGGAAAAGAGGGGCAAGCTGGTACGCAGATTAGAAAATTGGCTGTCCTGGGTTAGTCAATAGTTCGAGGGATAGCCGGTCTAGCTTGTAGCCGAGATTGAGAGTCCCATGTGATCTGATGCCTCCTGGGTACAGCGAACATAGAACAGTACAGCACAGTGCAGGCCCTTCGGCCCACGATGTTGTGCTGAACTTTTACCTGAAACCTAAGGTCTATCTAACCTCCACCGCAAGAGTTCAGGACATAACAGAACATCTGGATAAAGTTCTGGAAAGGGATTATAAAGAGAGATGGACATAGACTTAGCTGATTGGGAACCAATGACAGCTTGGACGACTTACAAAAGAACATAATAACTAGGAGCAGGAGTAGGCCATCTGGCCCCTCGAGCCTGCCCCGCCATTTAATAAGATCATGGCTGATCTTTTTGAGACTCAGCTCCACTTACCCACCCACTCACCATAACCCTTAATTCCTTTACTGTTCAAAAATTTATGTAGCCTTGCCCTAAAAACATTCAGCAAGGTAGCTTCAACCGCTTCACTGGGCAGGGAATTCCACAGATTCACAACCCTTTGGGTGAAGAAGTTCCTCCTGACCTCAGTCCTACATCTGCTTCCCTTTATTTTGAGGCGATGCCTTCTAGTCCTAGTTTCACCTGCTAGCGGAAACAACCTCCCTGCCTCCACCTTATCTATGCCCTTCATAATCTTATAAACGTTTCTATA